CCCCAAAGTCCTGACTGGAACCATCCAGAACCTGTGGACTGATGAAGGAACAAGTCTGAGTCAGAAAGACGACGAGTTTAGTTGAACTGCAGCGGTTCTGTCCAGAGGAGCCAAAGATGGACCAGAAGCTGGTGGACGGAACCAGAAGAACCCGACTGAGGAGAACATGGACCTTTAACCAGATATTAACATTTCTGTATTTATATTTATGATCCAGCAGATTTTGTCATATTTCCAGAAGATCTTTAATAAATCCATGAAAGAACCAAAATGTACGATTGTTTTCTTGTGACAAAGTGTGTTTCAGTGATTCAGTTCCAGGAATCAAACTCAGGATGAACTCGACGTCTTCACAGGTTTGTGGCATCTTTGGTTCATGACTGTATGACTGACAGGAACCTTCTGGGGCCACAACACCAGCCGTGTTTCTGCTGCGTCCAGCAGCCAATAACTTCAACATATGTTCCATAACTCAGTTTTAATAAATGACTAAACTCACTTTCACTGTGAGCTGAGTGACGTCACCATCCACACGATAAAACAACATCAGCTTCAGCTCTGAGCGGAGGAGCTGCAGCGCCGGTGAGTCGAACACGCCCGTTTGTCTGAATCATCTGTTTACCGTCTTTTGTTTGTCTTTTATCTGAAACAACCTGCAGACCTGAGTTACTGTTTTAAATGTCTTAAAGCACACTGTTAGCTGTAACCGGGTTCTTTTTAGAGCTTCATTTAATTTCAACAGACTGTTTGGTGCCTTTATTTTTCATTCAGTCGCTTTGTCTTCTTTTTACTGTTTGATTTTCATGTTTATAATTTGTTGATTTAAATCTGATGCATTGTGTGTTATTACAGGTTGTTATGTTGGAAATAAGCCGACTAACCGCTCCTAAAAAGATAAATAACCTGGATGTTAATGTTCTAAAGTGTGACTAACCTGCGTATTTATGGACCGAAGTGTCATTAAACTGAACATTAATGCACAAACCTGAAGGCAAAATATCAGAAACAACAACGTGAACTTGGTTCAACGCAGCTTCTGCAGAAAAACGATTATTTCTTAATGTTGCAGAAACGTTTGTTTCATTTGGTTTGTAGGAAAACTGGCTCAGAGAAACCAGAAGCCTAAAAACGACCTGAATGATGAGTTTTTTTACAGCTTCAGTGACACAGATGTCTGACTGTCGTTTAACACTGAAGACTGCAAATGTTCAGAACGAGCTGCATGAACTTCAATCCAAAGAACGATCCGTCTGACTTTAGTGACAACAGAACGTCATTTAATAAACGTTTTCATGCTTAATGTTCAAAATAATCATTCTGAGACTGAACCTTCATCAAACCACATTAGACTGAGAGCTTTATGTGATTTATTTTATTTACTTTTAGCTCAGATTTGGTCGCCTCCAGCAGACGTTAGAACCAGGAGGACTCTGTGAGACCAGGTGGAGGTTTTTGTTGCTCAACAGAATGAAGGAAAACAACAAACTCGTGTCTCTGATGATGATGTTCTGCAGCAAATCTTTTGTTTTCTTCACAAACATGAGTTTATATTTCACATTTAATGTCATTTATGTATTTTTTTTTTACCCTCTCTAGGTTTAAATTAACCGTCCTCATGATGGTGAACTGGACTTTAGGTCCAGATGTTCTGCTGCTGGAGGGGTTAAAGGTCAGCCCCAAGTCCTCCGTCCCCGCCTTCGTCCTCCTCCTCATCATCTACGTCTTCATCATGGTGTCCAACGTGGGCCTGGTGGTGCTGATCACCATGGAGAGGAGCCTCCATGAGCCCATGTACCTGCTCTTCTGCAACATGAGCATCAACGACATGTTCGGGGCGTCGACCATCATCCCCCCCCTGCTGGCCGACGTCTTCGTTCCCAGCTCTCAGCGCTACATCCGCTACGTGGACTGCGCCGTCCAGGCCTTCTGCGGTCACCTCCACGCCAGCGTCGTCCACACGGTGCTCATGATCATGGCCTTCGACCGCTACGTCGCCATCTGCAGGCCGCTGCAGTACGCCGCCATCATGACCAACAGGATGGTGGTGAAGCTGTCGGTGTGGGCCTGGGCGGCGCCGCTGGTCATGGTGCTGATCCTGGTGGGCCTCAGCGTCCGGCTGTCACGCTGCAGGTCGGTCGACTCGTAGTTGATATTAATTCACAAGAACATCATTAGTTTGAATATTAACGCACAAAAGTGTGAATAAGTTGGACATGA